AGGTCGAGGCTGTGGTGGCCAGGAGAGGCCACTGCACTCCAGTCTGGGCGATAGAGTGAGACTCCAACTCTTAAAAAAACAAACAAAAACAAACAAAAAAAGCCCCACAGACCCTCCACACTGATGGTGTGACCACAACATGATTTAGAAGACTTCCTGAGTTAATTCCAAATCACCTGCTGCTTATCCAAAATCTACAGGGTTTTTTCCTACCAAGATACAAAATTCTTTCCATTAAATACTTCAAAATTCTACGTTTAGATAACTAAGTTTAAACCTGACAAAATAAAATAAGCCTAAACAATGTTATCAATACTCCTAGGAATATAAATAAACTACATAGAACTAATCTAATCTGTAACTACATTTAACAGATATGTGCCAAAAAAATCAAAAAAGTGACGTGGGAGCAGTTCAGCGCTTAAAAACAAAAGTTCTGAACACAACTTATGTAACACCTGAAATACATTTCTCTAAAAGCAGCAGTCAACTGGTTTAATATATTTTCTTGTAAAACCTAAAGGCTAAGGTAAGTCTTGAGCTGTGTTTTTGCAAAGCCTAAACATTTGCATTAAAAGTAACACTGCTGAGAATCATTCTCTCTTTTTCTCTGTACCTCGTCTTTATTTCAAAGGATTTTAAGCTGGCTGAATACTCTTATTTTTGATAAATCAAGGTCTTTGAAGTGATGTTTTGGCTCTGTGAAGGCAAAGCCTCAGTTTCCAAAGGTCAGTATCTAAGGGCCAAAGCCCTCTCTCATTTTTTTTTTAAATGGAATGCACCTTTTAAATTTGAGGTTAATGCTCTGGCATTCTACCAGCAGTCTCTACCCCAGTCTAATTGTTAATTGAAAATCTGATGACTTATTTTGATGATGTTCTTTCAACGTGGAATTATGAAGAGCCATTCTTCTGGTAAGGAGATAGAAGACAAGAAGATCAATCCATTGGGCTCAAACAAAAGCACAAAACTAAAGGTGCCCAGTTTTGGCCTCAGTGTCCAAGGTCCAGCCATACCAAAGAAATCTTGTCACACTCTTGGACATGCTAGTGCACACACTAGGTTTTGAATCAGAGGTCTAGAATTACATAATCACAGAGAGGGACTAGAGGGACTCCATGAGATCATCCTCATGGAAGAGGCACATTTTTAAAGGATACATTTGGGCCAGAAAGGCAGAGCCCACGAGTGCATCCCTGAGTCCCTTTGCCTTTCTGACTATTGGTTTCCTCATCCCTAAACAGATCAGAGTAACACTTGAAACCTCACATAAATGACTCAGGGTCTTCCTAGATCTGAAAATTGCTGAAGTCTTGCCAGAAAAATCCTCTCCACATATCTGAGAGAGAAGGGTGCCCCATCTTAAGAAAACAACATATGCAACCTGAACTCAACCCCACAAATCTGGGCTTTCAATATTCTCATCCAGAAAAGAATTTTCCATTTAAAAGTACTCACCACCAGATGTACTTTTTAAAGTGCTCCCCAAGGCTTTTTAAATTTTAGTTTGAAATAAAAATTTAATACACTTTTCAAAACCACATAAAACCATTTAAACTGTTTGAATTTTTTACCATGCATATGAGTTAGTTTTTCTCTAAAAAAAAAAAGCTACAAAACTAGTCAATACAAAAAAAAAAGAAAAACCAGGCCAAAGAAACAGAATTCCAGCAACCCTTAGAAAACAGTAAGCACAAAGAAGGCAATGCTTTTGAATCATACGTCCTTCTATATCCTCCAAGTAACTGGGCCAGTGTTTTGTTTTGATTTTTGTACATAAAACGGATAGGACAATTTTCAGATAAGTCAATAAAATCTATTTTTTAAAGTAAGATGCATTCATATTCTAATATAGTATTTTAAGCCTGGTGTTTCAGTGACCTAGATTCTCTCAAATAGAATTACATAGAAAAGTAGCCGGTGTGATGGCTCACACCTGCAGTCCCAGCACTTTGAGAAGTCAAGGTGGGAGAACTGCTTGAGCTCAGGAATTGGAGACCAGTCTAGGCAACTGGCAAGACTTCTTCTCTACAAAAAAATTTTAAAATGAGCCAAGTAGGGAGTTGCACACCTGTTGTCCCAGCTACTTGGGAGACTGAGAAGAAAGGATCACCTGAGCCCCAGAGGTCGAGGCTGTGATCAAGCCACTGTATTCCAGCCTGGGTGACAGAGTAAGATCCTAACTCAAAACAAAACAAAACAAAAAGACATATAGAAAAGTAAAGAATGGTTGACTAATTTTTAGTGATCTGAAAGAATAAAAGAGAGAACACCATCCCTATTCAGGGCAATTTGGTTCTGTTCAGATCTCGGAGAATAGTAAGCGTGAATGTGCCTGAATTAAGCCACTGCACATTGGATGTGTAATAAAACTGTTTCTGAGCAAATTTCAGGTGTCTGATCCTTTATAAGCAGATATCACCTTCTGCCTATGCACCACATCACTGATACTCATTCCTCAGCAAAAACAAAGAAAGTGCCTCAGGAAGCCCAAAAAGTTTAACTTGGTGGGAAGACAGGGCACATTAAAAAAAATTATCACTGTCTAGTGGGTCTGAGGGCCAAGGGCTTGGCTGTGTGACTGAAACACTGAACACACTATTTCAGACCCGTGTGCACAAAGGAACTTGTGTGAGAGTGGGTGTGAGCAAGTGTAGGTGTTGTTAGCGTTGAACAGCAGTGTAGACAAGCAGCAAAATCCAGAAGGGAGAACGCAGTATCAGTATGGTAGAACCTCAGACAGAGTTGGCTTGGGTTTTGCCTACCAAACCCAGAAAAGCCCAGCCAAAAGGCCCAGTCAATCAAGATGTCTTGCCTTCTGTAGATAAAAATATCAGTCTAAGGTAATCAAGTGATTTGTGACCCAATGAGTAGATGTTTCAGTGTCACAGATAAGGCTCCAGCATAACAAGCAGTACAACAAGAAAACTTTGCTTATCATGCAAGCACTCAACCAAAGCTCAAAAGTCCCTAGCATCCCATAATTTCCAGTTGGTTACCCACCCTTCCCCCCAACACACTCACACATACATACATACTCCCCATCAGTCTCATGTGATCCAGAGAGCAGAGCTGGCAGGGGATTTTTCCCTGGCTCTACCCTGTGGGTGTCTGAAAACCTGTTTAAAGGTGAGAGGTAGGTTGGGCAACAAGCCACCCTCATTTCTATCTCTGGACCTGTCAGCTAACTTGAAAAGACCACTGCACCCTCTGGTTTCTCAGTTGGCACTCTCCTGGCAAATTAAAAAAAAATTATCACCTGTGATTATTTATCTCCTCTTTAGTCTCTTCCAGACAAAAACCCTTTTCAAACATCAGGACATACAAACTGTTTTGATAACCAGCCAATAGAAGTTGCTAATCCACCACTAGGAAGGGCAAATGGAAAGTTGGAGAACAAGCTAAAGCAGCTTTGGCTGTGCCGGCTATGCTTCAGGATCTCAAAAGCAATTGGCAGGAGTGGGATGGGGATCACCTCTTATTCAATAGCTGCTAACTGCTGGGCAGGAAGGAAGAGAAATCGGGGCCACACCTTCAGAGAGAAATATTTTCCACTCGCCCTTTAGCACCATTCCCTTCCAGGTGGACTGTCCTCCCTCTTAAGGTGGTGTGCCCATGCCTGACCACAGGTGCAAGATGTCTGGGGCCCTGTCTAGCCACAAAATGCCAGGCTGATTGGGACCAGGTTTTGCATACACATTTGCCTCCAGATCATCAGCAGAAAGCAGAATTTCATAAAAAGAAATGTTTGGCCTTTAAAAATTCCGACTGTGAAGACTGTGATTTCTGAATTGAAAGTCAAGAGAGAAATATGCATTGGCGTCCAAAACACCTGAGTGAGAGATGAAAAGGAGAAAGATAAAGCTCCCAGTAGTGGTGGAGAAAGTTACTGAGGTACAATGAATAGTATTTGATATTCAAGTTGAAATCAGAAGGGCACCTACCATAATACAATGCAGACTTTCCCCCAAGGTAGCACAGCAAGCACTTGCACACTGAACTAGGAAATTCCCCATACTCTCTGGAAAAGCTAAGAGAAAGTCCAGACCTTTTCAGAAGTGCTGGCTTCGTAATATCTTATGTCTTCTGTAAGATATTCTGAACCTCCTAAGGGTAAAAACAGCCTACAACTGCGAACAACCATGTAATAGAAATAAACTCCTGTCTACTGCCATAGCCAGCGCGAGATGTCGTATGAAGAACCAAACCAGAGACGCATGAAAACATACCTGAAATGTCTGCCTGTCCTAGCCAACACGCACATATATTAGGAGGTTTCTACCCTGGAAATACTACCCAGGTACCTACCTTAGATAATTCAACCTAATAAAATGGTCTGATACTCAGGAAACCATCTACTTAGCTTAAGGCATGGTTTTTATTTTAATTTATACATCAAGCTGCACCTCAGTGACACTGACCACACTAATATTTGCAATGTCCTGACTTAACTTACTGAGAGTAGGTGGTTCCTCATCCAGTACACTGGCCGCAACCACATTTACAGGTTTCAGGGCCCTGTCATAGAATCACACCATTGTCTTGGCTTATTAATAGAGGCTGACTTACTTGGATGATATACTTGTCAGTTTTCTTCGGCCTGGATGAATCACAGCTTTAAGTGCTTCACTTGATCATACAAAAGCTATGCTCAGCAACCCTGTTCACTATCTCTGAGGATTAGTCAGGAAGTTTTTGTGACACTCATATTATCGTCCCAAGAAGAGTGGTGACCTACAGGAAGTATCTTAAAAATTTGATGCATATGGAAACAGCAAAAGTGACTCAGGTTCACTGTGCAAGCTACAAAGCTCATATGGTCAGTACCTTTGTCCTCACCGGAGCAAACACGCCTAAACAGAATTATTAGTTATGACCACCCGAGGGCCCTGGTCAGAGTCTTCACGACTCAGTAGAAAGTAAGAAAAGGGGGACACGTGGGGCATCAAAGGTCTGCAAAAGCAAAACAAGTTCTAGAAAAATCTCAGAGCAAGACTTACCACTCTGGGCTTCTGCTGGTCAAGGGTATGCAGGAAGGCTGAGTTGGGATCCAGGGTGCGCTCGGGGTCACTGGAGATGTCCTCCTCCGAGTCCTCATAGGATGAGGAGAAGCCCGTGGAGGAAGCCGAGGAAGAGGACAGTTTCCTCAGGGGCATGCTGCTGCGAGGGCTTCCCTGTGCCTCCTCCAAGCCCTGGTCTTCCTGGGCACCCATGTCTGTAATGATGACAGCAGGTATGTTGCTGGGGCTGCAGGTCTCTCTCAGGAAAGGCTTGTCCTTCTGATCTGGGGGCAGCAGCTCCCGGCTGGGGTGGGCATCTCTGTCCTGCTGCTGGCTTTCCCAAGTCCCCTCCGATTGTACCCCTGTGACACGCGTCCAAGCCAAACTGGGTTCCTCCATGAGGCCCTGCCAAACCCTGGAGCTCCCAGGCTGCACGCTCACCCTGTCCCCAGGAAGGCACTGAAGTTCTTTTTGATCTTTTGCTGCTTCCCAACGGGGCGAAGGCTCCAGCATTCTGCTAGAAGGAATTCCCGCCTCCACCTCCCGGGTCCCCAGCTGTGCTGCGCGGCTGCCCCCAAGCAAGCCCAACGTTGGAGTCCCTCCCTCCACTCTGTCGGGGTGCTGCCGAGGCCCCCCGCCCGCCGGGGCCCCGCTTGGGGCCTCCTCAGGGCCTAGAGAGGTCAGGACTTCGGGCAGCCTGGGCCAGGTCAGGACATCAGAGGGTTCTGAGCTTTGCGCTCTCACAGTCGTCTCCTCTGGCCTTTCGCCCACTTCAGGCGCCCTGGAGCCCGGCATGCCACAGGGCAGATTTCCTTTCCCCATCTTCCCAGGGGGTTCTCCACCGAGGGGCCCGCCCCTCTCTGGGGCTGGGCTTGTCTCACTGCCCAGAAACTGCCCCTGACTCTCCACCAGGGCCTCCGGGGGGTGCGGGTCCTCAAGCGCGCAGGCCCTCTCAGACGGCTCAGTGAGGGCAGGACTGTGTGGACAGTGTGGCCCAGTGGATGTAGCTCTCGCTGCCACTTCTGTGCCCCTCACGAAGCCAGCTCCAACCAGACCCAGTGAGGGAGCTGGGCAACTCCGAGTTCCCAAAGGAGGAGAGACACTTTTGTCAATGTCCAGAGTTGTGGGTGAGCTACAGCGGGGGCTGACCGAGACGCCCTTCTCCATTCTCACAAAAGCGTCTGGACCCTGAGCGTCTGATCCTGTAGGGGTAGCTCGGCCCGGGGGAAGTGCCACTCCTTCCTTGTCCTGCGAGAGGCACGGGCCGGGCCCTCCCCTCCTCCGGGAGTCGGCCTCCGAAGTCTCCGGACATTGCTCCCCCCAGGACTTTGTCCTCCGTTCCTCGTTGCGGGCGCACTGAGCCAGGACCCTTCCAGGGGGTTGGCTGCTGCTGCGGAAGGGGCACGGGGAGGGCGAGCGAGCCCTGCCCAGGCGCGGGCTGCGGGGCGCTTGAATGGCGGAGCTTTGCGCCTGGATGTGCGCCTCGAACATGCCCACTTTCTGGTTCACCTGCACGTTCTGCAACTCGCGCTGCAGGATCCGCAGCTTCCGCTTGGCCTCCTCCGGCCCCGGCGGGGAGAGGGTGCTGGCGGCCACCACCTGCTGC